AAGTTTTCAGTGGCATCACCTCCAGCTTGTTCTCTTAAGACTTCTTCCCCACCAGGATGCTGTTCAAAGAACAGACAGAACAAAAATATTTTTTCAGGAAAAGGAATTAAAAGAAATTGGCCAGTTTATTTAAACCAACAGGATATTCCAGAAGTCACAGATGACAACAGGTGGCTATAACTCACCCACAATATGGACTGAAACAACACACTCCTTCACATCGTGCAAGTGTAATAGAACCCTTCGGTATTAATAAAACTTTACTTTCCTCCTGTTATTCACATGGCAATGAAAGCATCAGGCAGATGTTTTTAATCCTTTGGTAACATCTGCTTTGCTTTTCCATAAAGCTCTCAAAATTACTCTCCTTAATTTGTACTCAATCTATTTTTTCTAGAGTCCTATGCCTGAGACTCACACCTTTAATTTCTTCAAACAGCCAGAACAGAAGTGACTCCATTTTGTTAAACCTTCGAATTTAAAACTTGTTCTCGCCTATAACCCAAACCACACAGCCTGCAGCTAATGTCAGAACACAATGACTCTTGCTCTCGCACATTGTACACAGAATAATTACAGAAAAATTATTAACCCAGATGGCCATTCTTTACTAGCTTACTAACCTGATCTGATTTGAGAATAACAGGAACTGAACCCATGGAGAATGAAGTATGACACTGGTCAGCTCCCACCCAGGAAGTTCCTTGACAATTACGTGAAACACTCAAGCATGTCTGCACGTCTCCACTTGGTCACCATCAATCAACTTTCCACCCCAGACCCATATAAAACTCTTTGGCAAGCCTAGAAGAGGCAGAGATGGTCTTTGAGACATAAGTCCACCATTTCCCCAGGCTGCCGGCTTCCTGATTAAAGGCTACCTTTCCTTACACCAACCCTTGTCTCTCAATTATTGGCTATTGAGCGATGAGCAAACGGACCTTTGCGGTCTTGGTAACATTAAGTGGACTGAAGAGTGGCCGCTGGGTCTGAGAGGAAAATTCACCAGAGGCAAGGTCAGCGCGTGTCACTTCCCTTTGAAAGAGCTCTGCATGCCTGAGACACATAGGTAGCACAACCCGCTGGACAGGCAAGTAAGTCCCTGCCTTTGCAGAACTTATGCTTTAGTAGGAAAAAAAAGAAAAGCAGGTAGCCTGCTCATGATGCTGCCATCAGGATACAGTACTGATAGGAAACAAAGGAGGTGTGCAGGAAAGAGTTCCAGTCCACATGGGGCAGGTGGTAGGAAGGGCCTTCTGTGTAATAAGAGCATTTTCGTGCTTTTAGCTGCTTTAATTAGTAAAACAAAGGACGGTCATGATGCAAGGAGGGTTTTTTCCTCTAAGATGATTGACAGTGGGCTCCAGTCACTGGGTACAGGTGAGGTCTAGAGATTCTCAGGTAAGTAAAAAGAAAACAGCTTTTGGTTAAATTATCCTAAATACTTTTATAAAGGGGGAAAAATAAAGGTTCTTAAATTAAACTTGAGTATTTTATTTGATCAAATTCACCCTGACCTTGAGCAAATCACCTGTAAGTGTCCAATAGCTGAAATAAACCAGTCCCCCTTGCACAGCTGACTGCAGTCAGTTCTTAATTTCTCCCAAAATGGAGGATGCAAACTCACAGAACATCATAGAAAGGTTAATAATTATTCTGCTTTGAAACCTATTTCTCCTCCTACTTTGTTTAAACATACTAGTGTTAAGGAAATCTACTTTTTTTTCTCTTTTTGTAAAAATTATCCTTCTATATTGTAGAAAAAGTAGGAGGCACAAAGCAGAAAATAAAAATCACCCATTATCTTGCCATCCAGAGAGCTGCATATGGGTGTGTGCATCTGTGTATGTGAATAATTTTTAAAAGAAAATTATGATCATTATCTTATGCATTCTGTATTATTAAATAAAAAGCAGATAACACATGGTACAGACAGTATTGCCTAGTGGTTACCTCTCGCTTCGTGAACTTGGCAAAATAATGGTACTTATGTAGCTTTTGAAGATTGAATGTATTAATACATACATGTGTCTGGCACATAACATATGCTCAATAAATATTATCCAGCATTTTTATTAAACATTTTCCAATGTCACTAAGTATCTTTCCTCACTGTAACTTTTTAAGTGGCTACATGTTACTCTGTGTAGGCATTCCCCAATTTAAATGTCTTTTATTGAGGAAACTTAGATTACTCAAAGTCCAATTTAAACAACCATGATAATGTACACAAGAGGTACGAGCAGTAGATTGGCTAATCCAAAGCTTCCGATGTATCCTCAGGCTGTGGCAATGATTCTGGAACAGTCTGCTTATTGTTGGATACAGAAGCAAGG